GCTAACTGCAGTCTTTGAGGGTCCGGGTGTTGCACCGGGCCCTGCCTGAGGGAGACTCGGTCCGGGGGGATCCGCCAGGGCCTGGCGATCAACAGGTCAACCAGGTCGGCGAACCACGGCCGTCGGAGCCAGTGAGGGGCCACTAACACTATCTCCGCCCCCTCCAACAACACCTTCCGAATTACAGCTGGGATCAGGGGTAGGGGAGGGAAGGCGTATAAGAGGCCCCTGGGCCACGGGGTCTGTAAAGCGTCCACTCCCTCTGCTCCCGGGGCAGGGAAACGGGAGAGAAAGCGGGGAAGCTGGGTGTTCGTTGGCGAGGTGAAGAGTCCATCACCGGGCGACTGAATGGTCGACAATGTCCGCAAACAGGCTGGGGTGTAACCTCCACTCCGAGGAGTCCACAGTAGCTCGACTCAGCCAGTCGGCTTCGACGTTGTCCGTCCCGGTGATGTGGTCCACTGTCAGGGACAAAAGGTGAGTCTCTGCCCAGTCGCAAAGCGTCTCTGCCTCCCTCATCAGAGGCCAGGAATGAGTCCCCCCCTGCCTGTTTATATGGGCTTTTGTTATTGTATTGTCTGTGAGAAAGAGCACATGCTGCTCCCTCACCTGAGGAAGAAAGGCCTGCAGGGACAGACGGGCTGCTCGGAGCTCCAACCAATTGATCTGCTGGGAGAGTTCTAGGTGTGACCAATGGCCCTGGGCCACCTGAGAGCCGCAATGGCCTCCCCAGCCCCACAGACTGGCATCTGATGTCACAACCACCTTGTGGGGGTCCCTGAAGTAGCAGCCCCTCTGTATGGCCTCTGACGTCCACCAGGCCAAGGAGCGCCGGACCCGTGGGGGCACCTGAACCCTGACCTTGGACGAGGTCGTGCCCGCCTTCTGACATGGGAGCAAGAACCACTGTAGTGGCCTCGCATGGAACCGGGCCCAGGGAACGATATTCAGACAAGAAATCATTTTCCCCAATAGTTGGGACAGGTGGTCTATCTGCACAATCTGGCTCCTCTGAATCTGTAGGATTAGCGCCTGTATGCTGTCCTGTCTGTCCTGGGACAAGAAAACCTGCCCCGTCTGCGTGCCTATCAGGGCCCCTAAGTGAACTAACCTTGTTGAAGGAACAAGTTGGCACTTTGCCAAATTCACCGGGAACCCATGGTCCCTCAGTGCACCTATTGTCATGGCCAAGTCCTGTTCCGCCCACTGCTGAGAGGACGCCTGTAGGAGCAGATCGTCGAGGTAGCACTGTATTCTGATGGGAAGAGACCTGAGATACACCGTCAAGACAGTGAGGATCTTGGTAAACGTCCGGGGGGCCGAGGCCAGCTCGAACGGCAGGGCAAGATATTGGTAGTGGCAGCCTGAATAACAAAATCTCAGGTACTGACGATGCTCCGGCCGAATAGGGACATGGAGGTAAGCTTTGGTCAAATCTATGGAGGCTAGAAAATCTCCCTCCCTGATCCCCGCTAAGATGGAATGCAGGGAGTGCATCTTGAACCTCGTGTAGACTAAATACTGATTGAGTCCCTTCAAATTTAGAATTGCCCTCCACCCACCCCCCCGAGGCCTTTGGGATTACAAACAGGATGGAATAGAATCCGCGCCCCCTTTGCCCCAATAGAACCGGCTGGATGGCCCAGATATCCAGCAAATGCTGAATGGCCGATTCCATGAGCCCCCGCCTGAACGGGTCTCCAGAAACGGGGCAACGGAGGAAACGCCTCAGAGGAGGTGAAAGGAATTCGAGGGAGAGCCCTGCTCTTACAGTCTCCCTCACCCAATTGTCCGTTGTCAGGTCATCCCAGGGGTCTGCAAACAGGGTGAGCCTGCCTCCAATAGGGGCCTGAGGCAGGCAGTCATTTCGATCTTCTAGCCCCTGTGCCTCCAGCGCCCCGAAGGGCTTGGTGGGCTGTTGCTGTCTACCCCAGGAGTAGGAAGGTCTATCGGCCTGGAAACTAGGCCAAGAGTAATGGAAGGGCCGCTGTTGACTGGGGAAGCTTGGCCCAGCTCACCCCTGGCGAAAGGAGGGCCGCCTGAAGTAAGGGGAGGAACGGAAATCCATTCGCCTGCTCTGAGATGGGAGTACCTTCCTCTTATCTCTCGTCTCTATAAGCAAGGGATCTAATGCCTGCCCAAACAGGAAACCTCCCTCAAATGGGGCAGAAGCTAGCTTCCACTTGTTCTTCCCATCCATGCGCCAATGATGCAGCCAAAGCATGCGCCTAGCAGTGACTGATGAAGCCATGGCCTTGGCAGAGAACCTGGCAGCCGCCAAGGTTGCATCTGCCGTATACTCAGCAGCCGCTATGATTTTAGAAAGGTTTTGATGGGCCCGAACATCATCCGGTGCCAAGTGGCCCTGCAGCTGACGAAGCCATCGAACCGATGCCCTGGTGAGGAAGGAAGCTGCAGAAGATGCTCTCACAGCCCACGCATCCGCCTGATGCGCACAACGAAGTGCCGTCTCCTCCCGGCGATCCTCAGCCTTCAAGGCATCCTCAGCGTCAGGTGGCAACACGGAAGAAGAGGTGAGTGCTGCTACTGGAGCATCTACCTTGGGAACTTCCAACAGGTTAATCATAGCAGAAGCCACTGTAAACAATTGATTATCCAACCCCGAGGGTCTGGGGCCTGCGGCAGGGGCCGTCCACTGCCTACGTATCATGTCCAAAAACATCCCCGGAATGGGAACAGTGTCAGCCTCCACTGCTTGTTCGGTGAACAAATAATCATCCTGCTCTCCACTACCCAGGTTATCACCGGAGAGCGATGGATCAGGCCCCAAGCGAGTGGTAGCCCTGGCTTTTGACAATAAAGGCTTCAACAGGGCCGGATTAAATAAGCCCTTAAAGGCCTGGGGGGGGCAGTCCTGGTCAACATCAGAAAACTCCCCCTCCCCTTGATAGTCTGCGTCATAATCTCCCAAATCAGAAGGAGAAGGAGAATATTGGTAGTCCTCAGGAGCTGCAACATATCCCTGAGGCTCCACTTCTGGTCTGAATGCATACATTTGGGCAAAGGCCTGCGATTGTAACTGCATACCCTCTGCAATGCCCCGTCTAATTGCCTGTTCCACCCAGGACTTCATAAAATTGGGGACATCCTGCTCCCCCACTTCGCCCTGACGGAGGCCAGCTGCAGTGGGAGTAAAAGTGGCCTCAGGTATCTTACTGGGAGCCACAGAAGGCCCTGGGGGGTGGGGGCTGAGGTTCGGCCTGTATCTCCGGAGACCATTGCCTCTCATGACCAGCCACAGCAGGAGCAGGTAAATGGTGTGGAACTGCTGATTCTGTATTCTGAGCAGGTAGATGATGTACAGTCACAGGCACCTGAGAGGATTCTGGAGGTGCATTAGTGGCAGATTTGCAAAGGGCCTTTGTAAATTCTCTGTCCAAGGCCCTTTGCCTGACTTGAGCTGTCTTTTCATCGGCCTTGGAAAGCCCAGTGCGAGCCCTGGCCCTGGCCTTAATCTTGTTGGCTGCTGCAATACTTGCAGTGCGGGGCCTAGAAGTAGCTCTACCTCTGTCCAGAGGAAGAGACCAAGAGCTCTCAGCCGAAAAGGAGGCCCGTCCATCCACATCCCCCATATTGAAAATAAGCTTTCCAGTCCAAATTTAAAGAGAGAGGGGGCTTAAATGAAAGGCCTGAGTCAATAAAGGTAGGTATACTGGCCTGAATGGAGACAAAATGGCCGCTGTCTTCTTCAAAATGGCCGCTCGCAACTGTCAGGATTCAAATCAGCCCCAGGAAATAGAGAGCTCTGCCAAGTCCGTTCAGGCTGCAAAGCAAGCCCGCAGACCTCAAAGAGACTGGTCAGCAGTCCAGGCTCCCATCCGCAGCCGCGGAGAGCCTACCAGTCTATGCCTCAAAAAAAAAAAAATGGCTTGCCTCAGAAAATGCCGGGGGAGCAAAGCTGCCCGGACTTAAAGGCCCCCAAATTGTGTGGGAACAATGGCCGCCGCGACTTATAGGGCAAAATCCAAGTGTGGCCAGGCAGCTAGACCAGCCTTTCCTCGAATCCAGGCTGCTCTCGAAGAATTGAGGCGAAGCAACCCGCGCCCAGGCTAAACAAGGCTGGCGCGGCTGCAGCGGCTTCAGAAGGCTTTAAAAGTACAAAAAAAGCTGCTCCACCTCACAGCTGAGAGGCGGTGATCAAAGGGACGCCGCGGCAGTGTTAAAATGGCTGCGCGACTCCCGCGGCTTCCACAGAGGATCCTGTGTGCTCCGGACGTGTCTGAGGCAAACTGGGGCGAAAGCCAGCCAGCTAAGCCTTACAGCCGCAATCCAGGCAGGGGAGAAAGGGGGGGGGAACTTCAGCAACCCCCCCACATCCAAAAACGGCAGGCAGAGAGCCCTTCCCAGCCAGTACCTCATAGATAAGCAGTCCTCTTTCAACACAGAGCCTTAAAGGTACAGACACACTCACAGAGAAAAAAAAATGGTAAAATAAAAGGAAAAATAATAAAAATTCCAGGGAAATATTACTAGGCTAAACTCACAGCTCAGGAGCTGAAAGAATTGCAACCATGAGTTAGGCTGAGTTGAAACAAACTGAAGAGACGTCACCAGGGAGGCGGATCTTCAGAAGTTTCAACTCAGGACATAGAGCTAGAGCATAGACTATCCCAGCCTGGCACCTCCCATTTCTACACTATGGAGAATGAGGTGGCTGGATGGAGTCACTGAAGCAGTCGGCATGAACTTAAATGGACTCCAGAAGATGGTAGAGGACAGGAAGGCCTGGAGGAACTTTGTTCATGGGGTCGGACATGACTTTGCAACTAACAACAACAAAAAATACATTTATATTCTGATTTTTTTCCCTTGGTTTTAACATGAACACCAATAAAGGATTGATAATGTTCAAACTGCCTCTTTGCACAGGATGTGACTCAGCATTCATCAATTGTATTTCAAGTTGGGTTACTTTTTTAAATGCTATTTTTAACAAATGTTTTCAAATGGTCAGTTTAGGGTAACAGAAAACTACTCACCTATTCATTTGTCCATTTTCTACTTCTGTAAAATCATTAGAATCATTGCTTATGTTATCATCCTCAGGAAGCTTCATATTTTGCATCTCCGTTAATTCTAGTGTTATTTTGAAAGGCATTTTGATTTAGAGAACTTATACTGGAGTTTGAATTTTGGAGTGAAGTGACCAGCTACACAATGCGTTGGACAACCTGAAAAAAAGGAGTAATTAAAAAATAGCAAGACCACTGGTAAGAAGATCAGCAATTATCTCCCAAAACACTATGCAATATTTTTTCAATTGAGACAATTATTGTCTGAATTGACACTCATTTAACTCTGCTTTCAGTAAATACATCAATCTGAGAACTTTGATAACAGCTTAAGATACAAGTTGACTTTTTCCTTTGTGTTTAGGTGAAAGGGGAAAACTGAGTAAAGGAGAGAAGCATTTAAAATGTTTAGGTAATTTACATAAACTAATAAACAAGAATCCTAAAATATTATCCAAAGTGTTATAGAAATATATCACAGGCAACACTTCCTGCAGTATTGGAAAAAAATCAACTCTGGTTATACCAACCAACTCGTAATGGTACTTCTGAATTAAGTCTCCTATGACACCTGAAAATGGGATTTTTTTTAAACTTTCTGTATACTTATTGCTAATCCTGAGCATATTTTACATGGGGGTCTCAGTAGCAACCATTTGTTCAGCAACCATTTGACGTTATAACACTGCTTAAAAAATAATTTTATGGCCCATTTACAAACTTTGCAGCATCCCAGGTATACAATCAATCGCCACTGTAGTCACTTCTACACCTTGTTCTGTGCCTGATCTGCATTTTTCTCTTCCCCACACCCAAAGCAGAGAGATTGGACAGATAGGGATTGCAAAAAAGTAAGCTGTTTGCTCTTCTATACATCAAAGGCAATGCAATCATATCAGAAGCCAGGGCTGGGAGCCTCTACACAAATAACTTACAATACTCTGTTGAAATCTCTTCCTCTCCAATCTCTCAGCTTTGTGGGGCAGAGAGGGAGGAAAAGAAAGGTGATTTATGTAGAAAATATTTCCTTTGCCTGACTCTTCAGCAGGGAAAAAGCAGCACTGCTTAACTCATTCTTTGCATCAGTCTTCATGCAAAAAGAAACTATAGCCCAACCTACCAAAAACATAACTGTAAAATACAGACTAGAAATGAAAGTTAAAATAAGCAAAAAAAAAAAAAATAGTAAGAGAACACCTGTCTGATCTTGATTAATATAAATCACCGGAATCTGACGGATTACATTCCAGAGCTCTAAAGGAGCTGGCAGTTGTCATCTCAGAACCACTGTACCATATCTTTCAAAAATCCTGATGCACAGGGGAACTATCAGAAGACTGGAAAAGAGCTGATGCAGTTCTCATCTTCAAAAAAGGGGAAAAAACAGACCCAGGAAACTACAGACCAATCAGCCTAACATCAATACCCGGGAAGATACTGGAAAAAATAATAAAAAAACAGACCTGCAAACATCTAGAAACAAGTAAAGTAATAACTAGAAGTCAGCATGGGTTTGTTAAAAACAGAGCATGCCAAACCAATCTTATTTCATTCTTTGACATAGTGACTAAATTAGTGTACCAGCAAAATAGTGTGGGCACAGTATACTTAGACTTCAGCAAGGCATTCGACAAAGTAGACCACAACCTACTTCTTGGTAAGCTAGCAAAAAGTGAGATAAATAGCATCACCACCAGATGGATTTGTAACTGGCTGACAAACCATACTCAACGAGTAGTCCTTAATGGTACTGGGTTGTTTTTTTTTAATTTATTTATTTATATGCCGCCCTTCTCCGAAGACTCAGGGCGGCTTACAAGGCATTAAGCAATAGCCTTCATACTTTTGTATATTTTATACAAAGTCAGTTTATTACCCCCACAAACCGGATCCCATTTTACCTACCTTAGAAAGGATGGAAGGCTGAGTCAACCTTGAGCCTGGTAAGAATTGAACTCGCAGTAATTGCAGGCAGCTGGAAGCTAAATACTACCTTTAACAGTAGCATTAGTCTGCTGCACCACTCAGGCTCAGTAATACTCATTAGTGCCCAGTACTCTTTAATATCTTCATAAAGAACTTAGATGAGGGAATAGAAGAGGAACTCACCAAATTTGCAGATGATACTAAGCTGGCAGGAATAGTCAACACCCTAGATCTGTGATGGTGAACCTATGGCACGCATGCCAGAGGTGGCACGCAGAGCCCTCTCTGTGGGCATGTGTGCTGTCGCCCCAGCTCAGCTAGCTCGTCATCAGGTTTCCAAGGCACGCATGCGCATCAGTCAGCTGGTCGTCGGGTTTCCGGTGCTCTGGCGCACACGTGCACAACTTCCAGTTTGGGCACTCTGTGCTTAAAAGGTTCACCATCCCTGCCCTAGATGATAGGTTCAAGATCCAGATTGATCTTGACAGATTTGAACATTGGGTCCTAACGAACAAAATGAAATTCAATGTAGAGAAAAGTAAACTCTTACACTTAGATAAGAACAACCAAAAGTACACATATAGATTAGGAGAAACCAGGCTCAATAGCAATAACTGTGAAGAGATCTTCGAGTCTTAGTGGACAACCAATTAATTATGAGCCAACGATGTGCAGCGGCAGCCAAAAAATCCAATGCAATCCTAAATTGCATTAACAGAGGGATTCAACCAAGATCAAGTGACGTACTAATATCACTCTATAACGCCTTATTAAGACCATGCCTAGAATACGGCATCCAGTTTTGGTCACCACACTATAAAAAAAGATGTTGAGATTCTAGAAAGAGAGCAGAGAAGAGCAACAAAGATGATTAGGGGACTGGAGGCTAAAACATATGAAGAAGTTACAGGAACTGGGCATGGCAAGTCCAGTGAAGAGAAGGACCAGGGAGACATGATAGCAGTGTTCCAATATTTAAAGGGCTGTCACAGAGAGGAGTGGGTCAACCTATTTTCCAAAGAACCTGAAGGCCAGACAAGGAATAATGGTTGGAAACTGATCAAAGAGAGATTCAACTCAGAAATAAGGAGAAATTTTCTGACAGTGAGAACAATCAACCAATGGAATAGCTTGCCTTCAGAAGGAGCTTCACCACTGAAAGGTTTTAAGAAGAGACTGGACTGCTATCAGGGGTGAAATGCTCCCGGTTCGGACTGGCTCGGGCGAGTAGGTAGCGATGGCGGCGGGCAATTCAGAGAACCAGTAGCAAAAATCCCTGCCCCTGCCCCCCATGCCCAGCTGAGCCGCGTGATCATCAGAGCCTTTTTTCCTTTTAAATGGCTGACGATCCAAGCTCTGACAATTCAAGCTCTAACGATCCCAGCTGAGTTGCCTGCTAATCAGGCAACTCAGCTTGGATTGTCAGACCCATTTAAAAGAAAAAAAGTTTCTTTTTTTTCTACCCCCAGCCTCCAGCTTGCTTACCTTACTTAGCTGCTGGTCGCAACGCCTGCCTTGCTTCGCTTGCTGTAATACCTACAATCCATTGCATCAGCAAGCAACTGAATCTCCCTGCCTGGAATCAAGCTCATCGATGAGCAGCTCTATCTGCAACTTTAAGACTTGTGCACTTCAACTCCCAGCAAAGCTGGCTGAGGAATTCTGGGAGTTGAAGTCCACAAGTCTTAAAGTTGCCAAGGTTGGAGACCCCTGTTCTATTGGGTAAGTTTTTTTCCCCTTTGGGAGCTTTAAAAGAAATAGTTAATTGGGGTTTTTTTTAGTTGTTCTTTTTTTAGACATAGCCATTTAAAGTTTAGGAAGTTTTAAATTAGCTGCTTTTATATAAAAATAAAAATAAAATAATGTTTGTGGAGCTTTCTGAGATTTAGTGTGTTTCTGTAGTGTTTCACTCTAACTACACAAACACACAAAATCTCACAAAACTGTATGTGGAATTTTGTGTGTGTGAAGTGTGAAAGTTTATTTTTTAGGCTTTTTGTGGCTGTGTGAGGTTCTGTCAGCCTCCGACTTTCTGCTTTGGCTGCCATAAGAAACGGGGGAGGGAAGAACAGGGGGAGGGAAGCAAGCTGGTGGATTTTGAAGAAACGAAACCTAAGCACTGAAGTGGCTATCGGGTCAACCGTCATCCTGATTGATGACGATGCCAGACGTGCTTCCACCTGACCTCTGGGAGACCTTTGGATTGGGTGATTGATGATGGACAGTGGGAGGGGATGCTTTCTATATGCAACTTTCACGCCTATTGCTTTAGTTTCAGCTTTCCTTTGGTTGTGTTCATTTCATCTTCCAGTAAAAGTACATTACTCTATAAAATATGGAGTTTGGCTCATTCTTTCCTGGACTTTGAAGGAAGCACACCTGACATTAAGCTGTTTTTCCGAGAAAAGAAGGATGGTTCCTTTCGCTTGGTAGTTGATTATAGGAACCTAAATGCGATTTGTGTGGAGAACATTTACCCCCTACCACTCATGAAGAACATGCTATCTCACTTAGGAAAGGGAAAAATCTTCACCAAACTTGACTTACAGGAAGCTTACTATCGAGTGAGAATTAAAAAGGGAGATGAGTGGAAAACAGCATTTAGCTGCCCACTTGGATGTTTCCAGTTTAAAGTACTCCCATTTGGACTACAGGGAGCCCCTGCTGTATTCATGCAATTGATTAACGAAGTACTGCATGAGCAGCTGTTTAAGGGGGTTCTGGTCTACTTGGACGACATTCTTATCTACTCAGAGAACATGGACAATCATGTGAAATTGGTGCGAATGGTTCTGAAAAAATTCAGGGCCGCCGAACTATATGCCAAACTTTCTAAGTGCGAGTTCCATCAAAGTAAAATTGACTATCTTGGATATCGCATATCACATGAGGGGATAAAGATGGACCCTGGGAAGGTTCGGGCCGTATTGGAATGGGCCGCCCCACGCACCCGCAAACAATTACAAAGTTTCCTGGGTTTTGCAAATTTCTATAGACAGTTTATCCCTTCATTTGCCAAAATAGCTCTGCCTATAACAAATCTTCTGAAAACTAAGGGTGAGGAAAAACCAAGGCCCTCATGACCTCTTGAATGGACTATGGACTGTCAAGCAGTTTTTGAAAAGTTGAAACGACTGTTTGCTGCTGAACCGGTCTTCAAACATCCAGACATGGAAGAGCCTTTTGTAGTACAAGCAGACGCGAGCGACGTGGCTGTGGGAGCAGTACTTTTG